ACCCCGCGCTGCGGATGGTCATCAGCCAGGTTTCGGCGCTTGACCCCATGACTCATATCCGTCCAGGTGTCAAAAATGACAGGTCAGCATCTAGATCTAGGTCTCCTCGCCGTGGAGTACCCCCCTGCCCGCACTCCCCCTCGCCATGGACTCAGCATCTAGATCGCGGTCTCCTCGCCGCGGAGTACCCCCCTCCCCGCTGTCCCTCGCCATGGAGTACTCCCCGCGCCCCGCTCCCCCCTCGGAGCTCCTGGGTTAGAAAGCCCTATATATCCCTACTGTCGTGTTAATCTGAGACGCCAATTTTTAACCACGGCTTAATTTTATCCGAGGATAATATCGTGTTCATCGCTCTTTGTGTAATATTGCAACCGGGTATGTCTCTGATGACGTACCTATTGCACCCGAGGACCTTGTCGACAATGTAAGGCCCTTTATACTTTGGCTTCAGTTTAGTGTTAACGCCTGGCTTATTGCGCATGTCCCGTATTAATACATAGTCGCCTATCTGGTACTCTGTCGGTTTTTTACTTCTGGAATCGACGTACTTTTTGTTATAGTTTCGTACGGCTTCCGTAGCCTGTTTCGCGGTTTCCCTATCTAATTCTCTTTCTTTCTCTAGGTCGGTATCTACGTCTACTAACGCTCGCAGCCACCGCGCTAACCGTGCGTCGGCGTGGTTTTGCTGATCGTAGCCTAGCATGATCTTAGCCGGGCTGGCTTTGATAGCTGAATTGTACGTATTATTGATAATACAGGGTGTCCCACTAAGACCGCCTATTTTGAATTTAGCACCATTTTGTTTGTGTCGGTCGTACAGCGTTGTTGTTGGACAGCTGTCATGTGTAAACATTGAGGTTAAGTCATGGAAAATTACACGGACGCACAACGCATAGAAATTGTGAAAATCCACTACCGAAATGGTGAGAGTTTTGCGGAGACGGTTCGAAAATGTCGTGGATTTTTCGGTCACCATAACGCACCTTCTCGTCGTACAGTGGTCCGATTAATTGAAAAATTTGAAGCGATTGGATCAGTTCAAACCCAGAAGAGACCTGTCCGTGTTCGTACAGCTCGGTCTAATGAAAACATTGCAGCAGTTCGTGAGAGTGTTGACCAGAACCCTTCCACCTCGATTCGCCATCGGTCTCAGCAATTGAGACTTTCACGAAGCAGTTTAAAGCGAATTATGACTCAAGATCTGCATTTGCAAGCTTACAAGATTCAGTTGACACAACATTTGAAGCCAGCAGACCATGCACAGCGCCGAACGTTCACAGAATGGATCTTACAGAAACAACAAGTGAATGGTGATTTTTCGAAGAAAATCATCTTCTCTGATGAGGCGCATTTCGAACTTGATGGCTATGTCAATAAACAGAATTATCGCATTTGGGGAGCTGAGAATCCAAGAGTGATCCTTCAACGTCCCATGCATCCACCACGAGCCACTGTTTGGTGCGCATTTTGGGCTGGCGGAGTGATTGGACCGTTCTTCTTCGAAAATGCGGCTGGCAATGCAATCACCGTCAACGGCGATCGTTACCGTAAGATGATTAACAACTTCTTCTGGCCTCAAATTGCTGCAACGGATCTCGCAAACATGTGATTTCAACAGGACGGTGCACCCTGTCACACAGCGAACGAAACAATGGAATTGTTAAACACTAAATTTGAAGGGAGAGTTATCTCGCGCCGCGGCGATGTGATGTGGCCACCACGATCATGTGATTTAACGCCGTTGGATTTCTTGCTTTGGGGTTTTTTAAAAGGAAAGGTGTATACCAAAAACCCAAGAACAATTCCTGAACTGAAAGACGAGATTCGACGCGCCATTGATGAAATTGAACCGGCACTATGCCAAAATGTCATCGAAAGTTTCGTCAAAAGGATCAACGAGTGCCATCAGTCACGAGGCGGCCATTTGTCGGATATTGTGTTCCAAACGTAACCTCCATGTCTACACTCTTTATTACAATAAAAATATCTTAACTTTTTAAATAAACACTGCGTTTTTTTCAAATTTCAAAATAGGCGGTCTTAGTGGGACACCCTGTATATTGCACTAAGCCTAAATGTTGTTCCCATTCCTGCGGTTCGTTTAGTAATTTGGTTAAGGAGCTTTTTAGGAACCGATTGACCCTTTCGACCGTGCCATTCGCCCAAGGCGATGCTACTGCTATCTTTCTATGAGTTATTTTCCGGCTATCTAAATAATCTTTGAATTCGACTGACGTGAAGGCTGTACCCCTGTCAGATATTAATTGGCTCTGATTTCCAAACGTGTCGAAAATTTTATCTAACCCTTTAATAGCCTCCGCGGTGCTGGTCGATCTGGTTCCCGTTAACCACGTGAATCGGGTAAACGCATCTACACTGACTAAAATATGCCTATACTTATTTCGCGTCTCTTGTAGGGGACCGAAATGATCAACATGGATTACTTCCATTGGCTTGTCCGGCAATGGAAACAGGTGCGTCTCTCTCTCGGCCCGGTTCGAGGCGCTATTTGACATTATGCAGTTGAGACAGTTGTCTATGTGGTCATAGACTCTTTTATTAATTACTGGAAACCAGTAATTTTGTTTGATTCCGTTGATGGCTTTCTCGGGTCCACAATGCGCCATGTCGTCGTGATGGGCCCGAAGAAGACACTCAACTAGCGAATCAGGTACGTAAAATTTCAATTGGTCGCCCTTCCTTCTATACACCAATCCGTCGACCAATTCAAATTTTTCGTTCTCGGTAACCTCTAACTGTTTGCTTAACTCTAAAATCTTAGGATCTGACAATTGTCTTAATTCTAGTTCCCTCTCTATTGGCCGTTCGAACACGAAAGCTACCGCTCGGCTCAGGGCGTCTACGTGCGCCATCTTTTTTCCCGGACGGTGCTTCACCTTGAATTGGTAATTTTGTAATGCTAGAGTCCATCTGGCTATTCGGGGGTTCAAATTCGCTTTATTAACCGCGTAGACTATAGCGTTACAATCTGTTACAATAGTAAACGGCAGGCCGTACAAATACAAATGAAATCTATTTACAGCCTTTACTATTGCAAGCATTTGAAGCTCATAACTATGGTATTTCTTTTCAGCCTGATTGGTAGCAGTACTGAAATACGCTACCGGTCCCCATGGCCCGTCTTTTATACGTTGGAGTAGGATTGCGCCAACGCCTACTGTACTGGCGTCGGTATGCAGTTCCGTCTCCCCCGCGGGGTCATACAGCTTTAATTCTGGCGAACAGGTTAGTTCCTTCTTTAATAATTCAAAGGTTTCTTTGCATGATTCATTAAATTCAAACGAAGTACCCTTTCTCAACAATTTATGCAAAGATTCAGCCTTTATCGCGAAACTAGCTATGAATTTCCTAAAATAACTAACTAAATCTAAACACCGCTGTAATTCTAATTTGTTTCTGGGCTGCGTAAACTCTTTCACCGCTAACGTGTGCCGGTCGCTTAGCGTGATTCCACTACTAGTTATGACGTACCCCAGGAACTCGATAGTTTTTTTCAAAAATAAACATTTCTTCAGATTCAGCTCAAACCCGTATTTCTTCAAAGTCGTTAATACTTGTTCGAGAACTGTTAGATTCTCATTAACCGATTCTGTTGCAATGAGCAGGTCGTCGATATATACGATTACTCTTTCTTTTCTTATTAAGGAATTGAAGATTCCTATTATTCTTTTCTGGAATTCTGCCGGGGCTTCACTATAGCCAAACGGCAAGCATTTATATTCGTATTGTCCGTCCGCGGTCGCGAAAGCAAAATATTTGGTCGAATCTTTATGTACCCGAATCTGATGAAAGCTATCTTTGAGATTCAGGAGTGTAAAGACACTCTTATTTGCCAATCGCGATAAACAATCCTCTATCCGTGGGAACGGATATTTTGTTTTTCGATTCTCGCGTTTAGCGGCCTGAGATCTACACACAGTCTAAGCTGTCCGTTCTTCTTGCGTACCGGCACTACTCGTGCGCAGTACGGCGATACGCTCGGTTGAATTACATCTCTTTCGAGCAAATCTTTGATGATCTCTTCGATCTGTCGGCGCTCGACGTGCGCGAAGCGTCTCGGCGCGTACGCGTAAATTGATGGATCTCGGATCCGTACCTGTACCGAATAGTTATCTGAAACTCTCTCAAATTCCTTTGTCTCAACTTGCTCGAGTAAATCTATAAGTTTGTCTTCCGTCGGTTGCCCGAAGTCTATCTCAATGTCCTCTAACGTGTGTTTCAGATTCGCCGGGTCGCGTTCGTCAACACAGAGTGGCAATTGTTCGAACAGCTTTAGCGTCTCCTCATCATGTTTACACAGAGGCTCGTATACTAAGGTGAGTTTTCCTTGAGCTAAGAAATCTCTTCCTAATATTATGTCTCCTTCAAACACGTCGTTTTCCAATACACACAAACTAACTTCGAATTCTTGACTCGGCAGTTGAGAGAGTTCCAATTTAATTCGTGCTATCCCTAACACTTTGATCGGAATATTATTCAAATTTCTTAACCGTCTATCAATCGGAGTTAACGTTAAATCTTTAGATTCTATGAATTCTTTATACGCACTTAATCTAACAAAAGATACTGGACTTCCGGTGTCCAACAACGCTGACAAGTTACAATTGTTATTACAGATTTTTGTGACCTTTGTTACAGGAGAGGTGACCTCGAGTTTGGAGCTGCTCCGGCTTTCCACCGTCGCCACAGTCTCGGGGGCTGCCTCCTCTTCGTCCACGGCCGCTGCGAGTGCCTTAACTGGCTGGAGCCGCTTCTTCTTCGGTTCCTTGCTCCTCTCCTTCAGCGCCGGGCAATTGAACTTCAAGTGTCCCTGTTCCTTACAATAAAAACATTTTACCTCTAACCGACACTGCGTATGACCATGTCCCTTTTTCCCACAGTTTCTGCACTTCTCCTCCGCCTTCGCCTTGGTTGGAGGTGCTTGGTTGTTCGGCTTCCCGTGTTCCTGCATCCCGTAGGTGATGTGCCTCATCCTCTCCAGGAACTGCTCGATGCTCATCGCTGGTATCGCCAGTGCCGTCGCTCTGAGTGCTGGCTGCGTGATCCCGTTGATCAGCAGTTGTATCTTGTCCGACTCCGTCAAGCTCGCCGTATGTAAGATAGTTAGCTTGTCCATGGCGTATTAGTCGAAGCTTTCCTTGGCCGGCTGCCATTTCCTGCTTTCTGCCTTTTGCATAATCTTATAAAAAGGCACTTTCCTGTCGTACATTTTCATAAGATCTCGTTTGAGAGCTTGCCAACTCTCTAGTACGGGTCCTTGCTGCAGGTCATACCACCGTCTTGCCTCTTTCGTCAGTTTGCTTGAGGCTGCTAGTTGGATGACTCCTTCCGTGGCTCCGTGTACTATTGCGATCTTGTCCACTCTGGCTATCCAAGCTTGCACATTGGCCTCTTCGTCCCCCGAAAACTCGGGTATTTGAGTGGCCATCCACTTCACTGAGTTTCCCAGATTCGCGTTCTCGGACCTTGGGCTTTGTGGTCCTTGAGAACCGCTACTTCGGATCGAGCCAGCATGGTGGGTTTCTGCCGGTACGGTCCCGTTCGAATTAGCGGCTTTCTTCCATCAAGAGCCTCAGTAGTCCTTGGAACTGTTCGTTCTGCTGACGCAGCATTTCAGCGACGGTTGCGAGGGATGTTTCCGCCGCCTGTGCCCCGTCGCTCTCCGCAACGATCGACCGGGGACTCGCGCTGTCTTGCGACGATCCCTGATCGATCGGTGGGGATTCTGGCGCTCCATCTTCCCCTTTCTCGATGGCCGCCATTATCTTCTCTATCAGGGCTTCCTTGGTGCCCGTCGGCGTCACTCCCCTCTTCGAAGCCTCTTCCTTCAGCTGCTCCGCGCTGAGCTTCGAAATCCTCTGACGCTCCATCTCCGTTTGCTTGCGCGTGGCCACCATCCACTACGCTCCTCGCACTAACTCACTGCCTACCGTCCGTCCACCACGCGTTCCGATTCGCACTCGCGCTTTTGCTACTCGCGCCGGGTGCTCCGTCCCTGTACTTTACCTTGTCGCGCGGTCCGACTTACGCTCGCGCGCTTTCCGCACCGCCAGCTCCTCTTCCTTCCGCGATTCTACCTCGCGTTCCGTTCTACGCCCGCCCGTTCGCTTACGTGCGTGCTCCGTATTCGACAGCGATCTTCTCTCGCGGCCCGATTTGCACTCGCGCGCTTCTGTTACGCCGCGTGCTTCAACTTTGTCCGTGAACTCGCCTCGCGGCCCGACTTACATTCGCGCGTTCCTGTTACGCCGCGTGCTCCGATCTCCTTCGGGGCAACTCGCGACACTTCGTTTCCGTCCTCTATGTGGGCGCGTGCCTTTATCCCACTTCTGAGATTCTGTAAGCCTAGATCCCAGTTCAGAGATCCTGAAAGGCTCTTGATTGTCCTTTCCCCGGAGGGATAGTCTATAATGTTTTATTCACAGTAGGATGCCGAAATAAATGTACTACCGTTAACACTATATGAGTATATGTATTTGAACTATGAAAACCACTGTTACACTCTATCTAACTGAGCGACTCCCGAGGACACGTCCGGCGTGTTCCCCGTCACAAAGGAGAGTCCCCGCTCGTCCGGAACTTCGGCTCCTTCCGATCTTTGTCGAAGGATCTAGAAAGCTCTAGACGAAAAGCGGAGCTACGCGTTTCCGGGTCGCCGACTCGTTACAATATAATATCTAGACGATCCAAGAGGTGTCGCTACTTGTATCGCCTATTCGCGTCTTACAAGGGAAAACAAATTCTGATGGAACTGCGAATAATGGCATAGCTCACCGTATCTGTTTCTTGAAACGTCAAAGTAATGTCTAACTACGAGCGTCACGTATTGATTGACGAGATCTCTGTAGATTTATTCTCCTCTCCGGATCTTGCGAACTGTTCCCACGTCCACGTTCCAACCTCTCGTCCACGCCGACCCACGCCGACGTTTGGTTAGGGAAAGATGGCGGTGATAATCCCCACCATCCCCACATTCGTGTTGACATTGGCGTCATCTAGTTTATGTAGCATTTGGTGGAACTACACCGAGGTCCAAGTTCTTACATCTAAGTGTCCACCCCCTGGTCGTTACCCGCCAACGTCACGATATAGACCGGCCATCTTATCGTGACCTCGGCATTGTGATCTCCAATAAAGTACATCCTTTATACTCGAGCCAAGTGAGTCGTTATTACCGCCTTAGCCGAGAAACCAGCCTTCGGCAGTAGAAGTTCTGTGGCACTTCAGCCGGGGCTTCCGCATAATATATAAGCCCACAATTGGTGACCCCGACGTGATCGCGCATCCGCGCCTTTCACGCTCGCATCGGCGGCTACGGAGATCGGTGCCTGAACTCAGGACATCCCCAGTTTTCTGGGCGGACCTGCAGCACTCAAGAGGACCTCGACCACGCCCTCCAAGCTACGAGGATCCACGGACGGGCCCAATTTTGGCGTCAACGACGCCGGGCGAGTCCATTCTCGGGCCTTCCCGAAATTTCGGGCGAGTCCACTGTCGGCAACAAGTGAACGTCGACGGAGGCCATTTTGGGTGACACAAGAAGATCGGCCGTCTTCCTCGTCTGGACTTAAGTCGTCGGAATCTCATCCTGAGCTATTCCCGGCGACGCGGCCGAGCCAAGCTCAAGGCGCACATCCAGGCCAGCGCACGTGTCATCCCGGCGGACGCTCACGCGCACTCGGGTCCATACCGGCGGGCGCGCATCCCGCGCAGCCATCCCGGCGGACATCTTCGTGCCAGCGCAGACATCCTGGCGGGCGCGCATCCCGCGCAGCCATCCCGGCGGACGCTCGTGCCAGCGCGGTCATCCCGGCGGACGCGCATTCCGTGCAATCATCCCGGCGGACACCTTCGCGCCAACGCAGTCATCCCTGCGGACGCGCATTCCGCGCAGCCATCCCGGCGGGCGCTGACGGGCTAACGGGTCCATACCGGCTAACTGTCATCATTACCAAAGCCTATAAAATGGACTTTGGCAGGATTTAATGGCTGTAATGATGGCTCTACGTCATACTGTTTCGTAGCGCACGGGACCATACCGCAGCGCACGGGACCATACCGACAGCGCGCGGGACCATACCGCAGCGCACGAGGACCATACCGACAGCGCGCGGGACCATACCGCAGCGCACGAGGACCATATCTACGGGACGCGTGCGCAATCAGCCCCAGGCACGCGCACGTCAACGCAGGCATCGAGGTACGCCCCAGTCAACGCTTCCAGCAGGCACCGCTGTCCGGCGGTACGCAGGTCAGCGCAGTTAACCTCCTCTCGCCGACGTCTCGAGTCCGAGCTCTACCTCCTTCGAGGGACGACGCCTCGTCAAGAACTTCTCGAGACCGTTGAGGCATATGTTTGCCTCGTCCTGGTATTTCTCCTCAGTTTTTTGTCATTCTTTTCATTTTTCTCGGGTCACGGTACGCGTCTCATAATTTCAATATGTCAGAGGTCGATGCGCGCGTAGAATCGTACCGGGTGCCGAAGATTCCGCCCTTCTGGCGACAGGCCCCGGAGGATTGGTTTTTGCGGGTTGAAGCGACGTTCCGAAACGCGAACATAACCGTTGACAGTACGAAAGTCGATTATCTTATCGCTAGCCTCGATCCTGAGGTTATTTCACATGTTCGAGATTTGATTACGGCGGATCCACCGCCCGATAACCTGTACAAAGTGCTCAGAGATCGGATTCTCGCGACATTCGCGGTCTCACTTGAGGCCCGCTTACGGCAATTATTAAAAGGTCAGGTTCTGGGGGACCGGAGGCCCTCGCATTTGTTAAGTCAAATGAATCGGCTCAACGGCGGGCAATGCAGCTCTGCCGTATTAAGATCTCTCTTTATTGAGCTGTTGCCAGACACGCATAAAGCCATTTTGGTTGCGACTAATGAACCTGATCTGCAGAAATTAGCAGAAATCGCGGATAAACTTGCGGACATTAACGGTCCCAGTTCCGCAGTCGCCGTTGTTGCGCCGACCAAAGAATCCAAAGGCGCTCGTCCTAAAGCTCCTCTGAGCACTGACGAGCGGATCGATAAGCTTACCAAGCAGATCCAGTCTCTGAGCACCTCGGTCGCAAAATTGCGCCGAGACAGATCTACCTCCCGCAAGCGTAGTAATAAGCGTGGTGATGAAGCAGCTAAGTCTGATGACAAGACAGGCTACTGTTTCATTCATTAAATACGGGAAAAAGGCCACGTCCTGCCGCAAGCCTTGCTCGTGGAAAGACGACGCGGCGGAAAACTAATTCGCTCTCCCCGCGAAGAGATGGTCGGGGATGTCGGGCACAATCAAAGCCGTCTACACGTTTTTGACCGGATCACCGGTCAACGGTTTTTGGTAGATACGGGCGCGGAGATGTCTATACTCCCAGCGTCCTTACGCGATAGTAACACGCCCTCAGAGTTTAAACTTTTTGCAGCGAACAATACATTAATTGATACTGTTGGAATGCGCGCTGTTGATACGTTCGGCGAGCGTCGTCTTACTCTAGATCTTGGCTTGCGGCGTCCTATCACGTGGAATTTTCGCGTAGCGAACGTGCCTTTTGCGATCCTCGGTGCAGACGTGTTGACACATTACAAGTTAATTGTCAACCTGCACAAACGTCGTCTGGTCGACAGTATTACCTCTCTGTTATCGTCCGGACAGATACTGACAGTACCGGAAATTAAAATTTCGGTAGTCAATAGTAATAATAAATTTGCGGACATCCTTTCGGGATTCCCAGAGGTTACCGGTTGCGGTCAAGCGCTTTCGCCTGCCGCATGTGCTGTCGAGCATCATATCTCGACTACTGGTCTTCCCGTCGCGGAGAGGCCACGCCGGCTACCCCCCGATAGGGGGGCTTAAAGGCAGCTAAGGCTGAAATTAAGAGGCTGTCTGAGTTAGGCATTTGTAGGCCGTCCAGCATCCCTTGAGTTAGTCCGATTCACCTGGTCCGCAAAGGTAACGGTGATTGGCGGTTATGCGGCGATTACCGTCGCTTAAATGCCGTCACAATACCGGATAAATATCCGATACCGTACTTACACGATTTTACCTCTAATTTGCTAGGTAAAACAATCTTTTCTTCCCTTGATCTCTTCAAGGCCTACCACCAGATTCCAATGGCCAAGTCAGACATACCAAAGACGGCTGTCATAACGCCGTTCGGTCTATCGAATTCGTCTCCATAACATTCGGTCTGCGGAATGCCGCTCAGACTTTTCAGCGGTACATTCACCACGCCCTACGGGATCTCGATTTTGCATTTGCTTACATAGATGATATTCTTATTGCATCCTTTTCCATGGAGGAGCATAGGAAATCTAAGAAACATCTAAGCATTGTGTTCCAGAAACTTAAGGAATTCGTGTTAGTTATCAACCCATCTAAGTGTATTTTGGGTGTAGAGGACCTTTCTTGGTCATCGCGTAAACAAATTCGGTCTTAAACCCTCTCCGGAAAAAGTGGCTGCTATTCGGGATCTCCCGAAGCCAAAGACTGTAACGGAACTACGTCGTTTTCTGGGCGCGTTAAATTTTTATAGGCGCAGTCTTCGACACGCCGCTCGCGTACAAGCCCTTCTACACGCATACTTAACCGACTCGCGTAAAAACGATAAACGCGAAGTACAATGGACTCTCGAGGCCGAAACCGCGTTTGACAAGGCCAAAACTGACCTTGCTAATGCCGCGTTATTAGCACACCCGTTCAACACTGCCGACACTCGCGTCGTGTCAGATGCTTCGGATTTTTCCATGGATGGGGCCCTTGAGCAGTATACCTCTGACGGTTGGAGACCATTAGCTTTTTTCTCCAGAAAGTTTACTCCGGCGCAGAGGAACTATAGCGCGTACGACCGCGAATTGACCACGATTTATGAATCGATAAAATTTTTCAGACACTTTCTTGAAGGTCGTAATTTTAAGGTCATGACAGATCACAAACCTCTGATCTACGCGTTTCAGCAACGTTCCGACAAAGCCTCTCCTAGGCAGTTACGTCAGCTTTCGTACATAGCGCAATTCACCACCGCGTTTGAATACCTTGCGGGTTCCGAAAACGTGGTGGCTGACAACTTATCTCGTGTCGAGGCTCTCCGCCTCCCGGTCGAATTTGAATTAGTCGACCTTGCCGCTAGGCAAGAAGAGGACGAAGAACTCAAACACCTCTTAGTCTCAAACTCGTCCTCGCTGAAATTGAAAAAATACGTTTGGGGTTCTGCCAACACAGAGCTATACTGCGAATTGTCAGGTGAATCGATCAGACCCTACATTCCAGCATCTCTTAGAAGGCAGGTCTTCGACCTTTTTCACAACCCCGCGCATCCAAACGCAAAAGTAACGGACCGCGTCATTAGACAACGTTACATCTGGCCTAATCTGCATCGCGATGTCGCGACTTGGGCGTGTAATTGTACCGATTGCCAGCAGTGCAAACCTCTCGCCACGTCAAACTTGAGCCTGCTCAATTTTCGGCTCCTGACGGGCGTTTCGACCACGTCCATATGGACATAGTTGGTCCTTTGCATCCTAGCAACGGCTTTACTTATTGTTTAACAATTATAGATCGGTTCTCCCGCTGGCCAGAAGCGATTCCAATCTTGGACATTACTGCCAAGACAGTAGCCAAAGCGTTTTACGATAATTGGGTCGCTCGTTTCGGTGCACCTCGTATTCTCACGACCGATCAAGGTCAACAGTTTGAAGCTCAACTCTTCTCAGCCCTTCTCAAACTCATCGGATGCAAACGCATTCGCACTACGGCTTATCACCCTGCCGCTAAACGGCATGGTCGAGCGTTGGCACTGCACCTTCAAGGCGGCGATTATGTGCCATAACACGCCGAGCTGGGTGGATGTCCTCCCTACAGTCTTACTCGGGTTACGCACTCATTTGCGTATGGACACAAAAGCTTCTCCTGCCGAATTTCTTTACGGCACGGTATTGCGGATTCCGGGAAAATTTTTCCTCCAGGAGGATTTTACGCCGGATCCCCAAATTTTTGTAGACGATATTAGACAGCACATGCGACAGGTGAAGCCAGTACCGGTGGCACACCATTACGAAAAACGCGTTTTCCAATTCAAGGAGTTGTCGGTCTGTTCGCACGTCTTCCTCCGTAAGGACGCTGTGAAAAAGCCTTTGAAGCGACCTTATTCGAGCCCCTTCAAAGTGCTTGAAAGGACGTCAGACAAAGTCTACACTATCGAGATTAACGGCAGACCCACGGCCGTATCGATAGAACGTCTCAAGCCTGCTCACTTTATACCGGACGACATTCCGATCGCTAACGATCCGTCCACGTCCGACGCTACGGACAAGCCTTCCGCTTCGTCAAGCGCTCAGTCAGGTACCTTAAAAACTTATGCGGGTCCTAAAAAGAATGTACAAATTAGGCTATACAAAAACACTGTACGTACATCCGCTCGCTAGTCAAGTCTCGACACGGAGACGTACAGGTAGTCATTTCAGTACGCGTAAAAGTATACACGTAAAAAACTTACCTTTTTAAAAAAGGTAAAAAAGCACCAAGTCTAAGCTCCAATTCAACCGAATGTATTTTGTTACTCTATCTTTTTTGCAAAAGTATAATCTCTACAAAAATATCTTTACTGCAAAAGTATCTTCTTTACAAAAATAGTGTCTCCACAAAAATCTTCTGTACAAAAATATCTTCTCTACAAAACTATCTTCTCTACAAAAGTAATGATATCAACAAATTGCGCCAAATAAAACAGCGGATATTTATACAAACTAGTTGTTTAGCATTAGTTTTTGATTAAAAAATGTTATATTTCTTAAAAATCAAACTAAAGATTTTATTGGAAAAAATAATCGAGTTAATAATAAAACACCGATGAAAAAAATAGCAACTGTTTAGAAATTTAGAAACTCAGTATCTGTTCAGGCGAATTAAGGCCTGTGTCCATGACGCTAGTACTTGGTCCAAGTTCTAATTCCGCGAAATATGTAGCCAATCAATGTAGCTGTCCCACAAAAGCTGTAAGTTGATTGGCTACGCAATTCTCAAAACTAGAACTTGGACCAAGTACTAGCGTCATGGACACAGGCCTTAATTCGCCTGAACAGATACAGAGTTCCTAAA